TTAGGTACAGGGACCAGATTTGGAAAGGGTACATTTAAGCTCCTTGACTCCCTGATGTCTATCTAATCTTTTCTTTCTGATTCCTCTGGGACCAAAGCGCTTCAGAGAGGCAGCTGCTGTGTTTCAGGAGACTCTGAGAGGTGGGTCCCAGCCTGATGCAGCCCGAGAGCTCCGCTCTTGCCTTCTCCAACTCACACTGGTAAGGGGGCCAGGCCCACTGACATGCTGAGGGGATATCAGGGAGAATGAGCTGGGACTGCAATACCAAGCCTCAGGTGGCTAAGGAGGGGGTGGGAAGGATGAGTGGAATAAGAGGCATGGGCTGTCTTGCTTAAAAGAAGGATTTGTTGCCATTCTCTCTCTCTCTCCTCAGCAGGTTCAACGAGGAGGAATCTGTGCACCATCTCTGTCACCTGGGGCCCTCCTGCCACTTCCCTATGCTGAGCTGGGTGCCTCAGGCCTACCTTCCCTCAGGTGCCCTCGAAGCACCGCTCCGAGGGCCCCTGGTCTGTGTCCACTCTTGCGTTATCCTCCATGTCACCGAAGCCACCCCAACCAGCCTGTCTCCCAGACTCAGAGTAGAAGGCCCCATCTTCTCCAACCCCAGGACCCTTCAAAGGGCTGGGACATCCTGGGACTTGGGCCCCAGCATCTACCTCAGGCCAGATGAGGGGGCACTGGTCCCTCAGAGGGCAAGGTCATGTATACATCCCACAATGGGGGGACATGGTGTGGTGACAGTTCACTGCATATTTTGAGACCTTATTCTCTAGATCCATAGTTAAGGATGCCCCTGGCAGTCATTCCTCTTACCATGGAGAAGTTTCTGATGAGAGAAAGGAGCCCACATCCACTGAAACATCCTTTGGTTCTCAAGCAGAAGGCTTCTTCTGGAGGCAGTAAGGAAAAATAAAACCCACCAATGCTCAAGAAGGAAACTGTAGGAAAGTTCAGGGTTTTAGGCTATAGGAGAGACAGTGAGAAGGCATCTGGGTTTTGCTCTGCCTCTTGGTCCTGGGGTCCTCATTCACCGACTAGAGCTCTGTGTGCAGGAACTGGGTAACAGTGCTGAGAGGGCTTGAGTCCCACCTTTCAGCTTGATGGATGCTAACCTCTTCCTAGCCCCAGCTTGTACCCTGTTTTTCTAGCCACAGCCCCCAGTTTGCTCACAGCTTCTCATGCCGTTTCCTGTCCAGACTGCTGTATATGACTGTCCTCTCTTTTGTCCAATGGTCTGATGCTTGCCTCCTCTTACTGCTAGAAGATTTACCAAGGGTTTGCATTTGGGAAGTCCTTTACCAGCTCCTGCTTAGAGCTGGCAGGACCATACATGTCCACACTCCCAACTGGTGGCTCTCCAACTGAATGGGGCCTCAGCAGGTACCCAGGCTGTTGCAACCTTGGCCACTCTGTTTCTCCACCCTAGTATTGGGCATTGTAATTATCCTTTCCCTATGTTAATTTATTCACCTTTTCAAGGGTATGCTGAATTCACCACTTCCTGTATAAGAATCATGATCTCCTTTTAGTTTTACCTCTTAAAATCCTGGCAGCCCCTAGCTGGTTCTTCCGTAGTCCTGCTGGGACTGTCAGCTCACTTAAATGTGCATCTGCAGGAGACCTTAGCTCTCCCCCAACTCCCTTGCCTTTCACAAAGGAACCATTCATCAGGATAAATGATTATTGCTGCCCTATGGGTGTTGCTTAATACTGTTCATACTTGGAGAGAGGAGGTATTGAAACATCTCTTTTACATGGGACTTTCCCAAATTTTTTAAATTGTTTATGACTTAGGCCCCTTAAATACTGTGTAGCAGGAGGAAGTCTGCCGTTTACCGTCTGGGTCACCTTGGACGGGTCTGTCAACATCTAAGCCTCAGATCCTTATCTGTAAAAATGGGGGTGGTCCCTACCTCATAGGGATATTGTGAGGATGGAAAGCAAAATTGTGAGAAAATACCTCCCAAGTGCCTGGTACATAGTGGGTGCTAAATAAACCAATTTTTATCTGCAACTGTCCTACATAGTCATGCTTCCCACAGTAGGAAGAAAGGAGTATGGGTGAACTGGTGCTAAAATTCACAAAATCCAGAGTTCAGGGACTGTTATTCTCAAAGTATGGTTTCTAGGCTAGCAGCATCAGCATCATCCAGAAACTTACTAGAAATGCAGTTTCTCAGGCTCCACCCTAGACCTTCTACTTTCTATGTCAGAAACTGTGGGAGCAGGGCCCAGCAATTTGTGTTTCAATAAGCCCACCAGGTGATCCTGATATACATTGAGGGCTTAGTGGAGCAGACCTCCATCTCGAGGCCATTTTGGTAGGACAGGTTTGAGTTTTGTTGTCCAAGACTTGAGTGTAAGAGGTGGCAGTGCTAGCTGGGCTCGAATTTGGGAAACCTCAACTAGGGGAGAGGCGATGACTCAGAGCCAGTTAACTTGACGACCCTACCTTCCTAACTAGAACTAGTTCTTTGCTCACCCTGGTTGAGAAGCAGGTTGGGGTAGAGGTGGTTGTGTTTGTTCAAGGGGTGATTATATTACAGTTATACTGCAGTGATTACATCAGAGGCCTGACCATCTGCCTTTCCTTTTTTGGGGACATGCATGCTTTTGGGACTTCTCTAGGGCTCCTGGCCTCTCAAAGAATGGCCACCCACTACTCTGTGGTATTTTTGCCTTCCAGCTGAGCTGGCTCCTGTTCTAGCTTCTCAAGTAAATGTTCCCTGCCCAGAACCTTAGCCTGTCCTGGACTTGTAGCTTCTCCAAGAGTCACATGACTCCTGACACTTTGCCCGACTTTCACCACCCCTAACTAAAAGGGGTCTGACCCAGTAGCCTGAGTTGTGAGTCCCCAGGATCGGAAAGTAGGATGGCCAACCATCCTGGTTTTCCTGGAACTAAGGGATGTCCTGGAGTGAGGGACTTTCGATGCTAAAACTTGGAAAACGCTGGGAAGATAGAAAAGAGTTGATCACCCTACTGGAAATGTTCCAGAGAGGCAGTATTTAGAAGGTATGAAGGGAGTACTGAAGGGGCAGTGCAGTTGCAAAGAGTATTTTTTTTTTTTTTTTGCATGTGCATAATGGCTGACAGATTCTTAGCTCCGTACCAATGGCCATTGTCTGTTTCTGTGTTGCCATTTTTCTTCCAGTTGTCCACATTTGCTAGGTTGTCATTGACTCATGCAATCCTTGGTCCCTGGATTCCTCTTCTGTGACCACCTCTCAGGCCCACCCCAAGTCTGGCCCTGAGTTCTCTCTGCTGTTACCTTTTGCAGTGGCCAGAGAATTATTCCTTTCCTCAGGTCTCTACCAGTCTCTGATCCACCCTGCACCCAAAGACCTAATGGCCTACCCTAGAAAATGGTCTCATGTCTCTCTTCTCTAGAACCTCCAGGGAGCATGCTTTAAGGTACAATGGCTAAGTTTCCTACCTATGGCCCTTTCTCCTCCCCTCTCTCTGTAAATCCTTTGCTTCTTTCCTTAGGTTTAGTCACCTTTATAGAGACCGAAAGCATGGGCTCCTGAATCAGACAAGCAAACAGCTCATTCCATTCCCTGTGCCACCACTTAACAAACTGATCTGGCCAAGTTTCCTCAGGGTTCTGTGATTCAGTCTCCTTATCCTTAAAATGGAAAGAAAAGTCTCTGTCCCTTTGGGTTATTTTAAGGATTAATACCTGCAAAGCACTTGGAACTGCTTAATAAGTGGTAGTTACTGTCTGAAAATGCCAGGTTTCCTTCTGCCTTCCAGCCTGTTCACTCTCCATGGAATATCCTCCCTTGGGCCCTCCACCTACAACTAAGGCCCTGGCTGACCCCCCTTGAACCCATGGAGCTTCCTTGAAAGTGCGGTTGTCGGCCGGGCACGGTGGCTCAAGCCTGTAATCCCAGCACTTTGGGAGGCCGAGGCAGGTGGATCACAAGGTCAAGAGCTCGAGACCATCCTGGTCAACATGGTGAAACCCCGTCTCCACTAAAAATACAAAAAATTAGCTGGGCATGGTGGCACGTGCCTGTAATCCCAGCTACTCAGGAGGCTGAGGCAGGAGAATTGCCTGAACCCAGGAGGCGGAGCTTGCGGTGAGCCGAGATCGCGCCATTGCACTCCAGCCTGGGTAACAAGAGCGAAACTCCGTCTCAAAAAAAAAAGAAAGTGGGGTTGTCACACAGGCAGAGGCAAGAAAAAGTCCGAAGAGAGCTGTAGGACTGACGGGAGAGAAGGGAAGCAGGAAAGACCTGAGCTTAGTCTAAGATTGGCTGGGACCACTGGGGATGGGGAAGGCCTGCAACTGCTGAGTGTTTCCTCTTTTCCCCACACTGCAGGAGGGTGATTATCACCAGTGGAATAAATGAATGTCAAATTCATTTATTTGGAATCCCCACCAGGCAAGGCCACTACTCCAAGCATCGCCCCAGCGGGCCAGGCCTTTCAACCCTCTGTGGCCACCATCCAAATGGGAATATTTCCAGCCCAGGGGCCTGGCAGAGGTCTTCCAGGTAGGGGTGTGGCCTCTCTGGGCACCCATCTCTTCGCCTGTGTCTCAGCAGAGGGTTCTTTCGGCAGGATGGGGATAGGGTCAGGAACCCGTTAACAAATGACTTATGGGTGGGGAAATTCATCAGTCAGTGGCCAACCTAGAGATGAGAATCAGCGTCTCCCAGGTGGGGGCTGATCAGAGCACTGTTGGAGTTCTGTGAGCAAAGGCATTAAGTAGGTGGGCCAAGGCCCCATGGTTTTCACTCAGGCCTGGTGACTTCCCTTTGGTAGGTTGATAAGCATCAGCTCTGAAGGCAGGCTGGATGCTGGGTCCAAAACCCGACCTCAGGGTTCTTTGTTAATTATTACCTACCTTAAAGGGTTGCTGCAAGGGCTAAAGGAAACATTGCTTTGAAAGCCCTGGCACAGTGCCAAATGCGACTCTTCTTACCATTTAGCAGATTTTACTGTTCCTGGCAGGGATAGAGGCATGGTGCGGGCATCCAGGTAGATGTGGTAGTCTCAACTTTATTCTCAGATACTGGGAAAGGTATCCTGGACAACGTAGCGGGGCCTCTTCTCCAAAATTCTTTTTTTTTTTTTTTTTTTTTAATTAGCCTGGCATGATACTACACGCCTGTAATTCTAGCTACTTGGGAGGTTGAGGCAGGAAAATTGCTTGAGCCCAGGACGTTGAGACTGCAGTGAGTGGTGATGGCTCCACAGCACTCCAGCCTGGGGGACAGAGCGAGGCCTGGTCTCAAACAGACTTTCAAAAATCCGGGAAAGGTGAGCAGCTAGACTGGGTGGGAAAAGGCCCAAGTAGACCTTCCTCCACCCTGGAACTCGGACAAGAGGCAGAGCTCGAGGTGAGGAGTCCGGGACCGCAGAACCCAGGGTTGGCGGCGGCTCTGTCTTCAATCGTCCACCTGTATCTCCTCGTCTGACGGCTGAAGCCTGGTGTCAGGTCCGGCAGTACGCGGGCGGAGGCCGGGGTCTGAAGTGCCGTCGGGCAGTGCTAAGCTGCACAGGACTTGGGGAGACAACGTGCGTAGCGAGGCGACGTCGGCGCGCATCTCCTCCACGTCACGCTTGAGTTTGGCTCGCCGGTTCTGGAACCAAGTCACCACCTGTGCGTTGGCCAGGCCGAGTCGTGTAGCTAGCCCGTCTCGCTCGGCCGGCGCCAGGTACTTCTGGAAGAAGAAGCGCCTCTCCAGCTCCAGCACCTGTTGAGCGGTGAACGCCGTGCGTGACTTGCGCCGTTTGCGGCCGGCCGGGCCAGGGCCCAACGCGTCCGGGGCTGCCCTGCCTGCGGGGATAGGGAGGGGATCAGTTTCCAGCCTGCGGGAATCTGCGGCCTGGAAAGAAAAGCTGGGGGTGGGGTCGGGCCGGTGGTAGTGGGGGAAGGAGGAGGAGAGCCAGGAAGGCAGAAGCGGACCAGAACTGTGATCCCTTACCAGGAGTCAGGCCCAGGTGGGGAAAGGGAGTGCAAAGCGGTCTGGCCACAGGGATGCGAGAGGCAGCAAGCTGAGGGCGTGTTGCTGGGCCAAAGGAGTGGAGGAAGGGAGGGACGGTCCAGAGGAAACCCGGTGCAGGCTCAAGCCTTCTGGGGTCGAGACTTTGAGGCCTTTAGGATCCTCAGGCTGAGCAGATTGAGGGTGACATCTGAGGCGAGTAAGAGTCCGGGTAGCCGACCCAGCATGGGATAGTAACAAGATCATGCTGCGTCGGCTGGATCATGCCCTTCTGTGGATCGGGTCGGGCTTTCGGCTTACACTTCCTTAGTGACGCTAGAGCCCTCTCCTTGAGCCCTCTCCTTGAGGGAAAGAATGAGACAGAGAGAGAGCGAGGAAAGGCAGAGTGCGGAGTTCAGTGCCCAATGCCGCACCAAGGACTTTCTGCTTCCTGGCTTCCCTCGAGAAGAGAGTGGCCTGGAGCAGAGCTTGGTCACCCGAGAGGCTGGACCCTAGCTTTCAAGCGCTTTCTATGTCGCCCTTGCAGGCTCAGTCCTTTACCGCCTGCAGCCCAAGTCTTTTGTCTCTTTCCTGGCTTTCTCTATCGCGATTGCCCCACCTACAGGGAACAGAGCAACAGGTCGCTCAGTTGGCGACAGTCTGCCTTTTCCCCGTGGCACTGGCGGCCTTCCCGAACCGCCATGGAGCCTAAGGACTAACGGAGAAGTGAGAAGTTGCAGGTGCGAGTCCCGGCACGTGGGCTGAGGACAGGGGCGGATTAGGGTGGCTGGGACGAAGATTTGAGCCTGGGAACCAGAAAGAGAGAGGTGGGGAAAAGGCCAAGGCAGGGTACGCGACTTTGCCGGCTCTATACCTTCAGAGGGCTGCGGAGCGCGCACGTCAAATCCGCGGAAAGTTTTACTCGTTAGCTCCTCCAGCGCGCACAGCGGCGACATTGGACCTGGATCTGACTCTGGAAGCTGCGGCATAGAGGGTGCTCGAGGGACCATGCGCGGGGCTAGGATGTCTGCGATGCTGAAGAGTGTCCGGGGTGTTCGGGGCTCGCGTTCAGAATTCATGTCCGGCCGGCTGGGGCGGTCCCGCTGCGTTCGGCTTGGCAGCCGCCTGGACCCCAACACTCGGCTCCCAATCCGGGCCCCCAGCCTCGGACCCGCCCTCGGCGCTGGGCCCGAATCCCGTGTGCCCCTCCTCCTGAGCCCCCACCTCTCCGCCCGGGGCCGCGGTGGGTCTGGAGCTCCTAGATGTCCAGGGAGGGTATTTCTCCAGGCTGAGGCAGGAGCGGAGAACAGAAGCCGACCAAATTACCCATCAGACCAGGGCCGCGGAACTGCTCTTGGCTGCGGGGCGCTGCACGGTGCACAGTCAGGCCGGGCCGTACCTCCAGACGCTGTATGCCGCCGACTCCCCGCCTAGCCGCCACTCTGGCTCATAAACTCGTAGACGATAAAATTGCTTTCCCCAGCGGCTAGGGATTTGCAAAGTTCTAAAGAAGGATATCAGGGCCAACTGTGCAGGGATCTCTGATTCCAGCTAGGACTTCAGTCTCCTAACCTGGCCCCCTCTTCCCCACTCCACCCCTGAGAAACGTTGTTTAAAAGGTCCTAGCGGCTGGAAGTGATTAGTGCTGCGTGGGTCGGTGGCGCAACACTTGAGAGTTGCGCTTGGGAGGACCCAGCCTGGCAGAGCGACTGCAACCGGGAATAGTGAGGATGCCAGGAGGAAGCAAGTACAGGTGAATGGGCCCGAGGCTGCCCCACCCGACGAAGTTAGAACACAAAGAGAAGCTGCCGGGAGACCCGGGCCACAGAAGAGAAGACCGAGAGAACTCTGAGCTGGTGCAAATGCCCAAGAGGGGTCATTGTCAGTGAGGCCTGGCAAAACCAGTCGATTTTGTCTGTCTTTTCCTTCTTTTTGTTAAGTTCCCATAGTTCAGGTATGTATGGTTTCCCTAGCCTGCAGAGGCTCAGAAATTCTCACTCCCCATAGAAGATAGACTTGAAGGGCAGACTTCACAGACCCAACTGGATCATGGGACAGGCATTCCTGACAATCCAGGTGCTAATTGTGAGACCTGGATTAAATACTCATTCCTGTTTAATCTGGGTCCTGTTAATCTCCCTTCTCTCCCACACCTATTCTGGTCCTGGGCTCATACCTGGGTAAGCACCCACAGCCCGCCTGTGTAGGAAGAAGTCAGCTCAGGAACAATGGGGCTTCAGCAGTGGAGGCCCAGCAAGATGCGGGTTTTGTTCCTACATTCCACCCCAAACAGCTGGAGGATTCACAGCCCAGAGGCAGGGAAGCCCTGCCACTCCTGAGGAGCTTGCTGCTTTGCTGCCCGGGGAAGTTGGAAACTGATACGCTTCTAGTTTTTTAAAACAGTGCCATGAAGAAGCAGGCCAGTCCTCCTGGACTGTCCATTATGTCACTTTCCTTGTAGACTGCTGTATCTCCCACCATCTGTGCAGTGTCCACCTGTCTATTCCCTCGGGCAACTGCAGCATGCAGTTTGGGTTCCCTAAGCAGGGCGTAGGAGATCCAAGGCAACTGAGCCAAAGACTCCCTGACAAAGATGGAAAGGCACCTTGATAGGGTCTTCTGGGTAAAGGCCTTACTCCAACAACCCCCCTCCACCACCCATAACATTCACATAATGCCCTCCTGGAAAGCTGAGCAACACACTTAAAGCCTGATGGGCCATTGCTGGATCAAAGAGCAGAGCCAGGCGGCTGCAGTGGAAAGCTGAGCTGCCTCAGGACCTTGTTAAATGGTTATTAATGGTGAGGGGCAGGGGAGGGCCTGGAGAGATCTCTGGCCATGGGCCTCAGCCCTGGAAACCATCCTAGTGGTTTCACTTAATGTGCAATAAAGCAGCTCCCTGGAGGCAGCAGGAACTGCCCCACTGCATCCCAGGCATGTCACCAAGCAGACACTGCAACCTTCACTCATTCATCCTCCATGTGGCTTTTGTATCTGTCTGTACCTCTGCTCTCAATTACTTGTGTGTGTCTGTGAGGAGTGTGGGGCTCTCCTGATGGGCCTTTGCCACCCCTTCCATCTCTCCCGCCTAGTTCTCCCCTCTGTAGCTGGGCTCAGGTACTGGGATTGGACAGCCCACAAACAGGAGTTTGGGGGAGGAGATGGAAGTGGAGACTAGCAAAGGGAGGAGGAGGCCCCAGAGATCAGAGGCCCCACTAAGGTCGTCATAGCGGCCAGGGACTAGTCCAGGGGATCGAGGGGCCACAGAAGGGAATTTTCCCAGTGAAGTATCTGGAATTTGAGCTGGGGTGAAACCGGATCCACAGAGGAGGGTAGAAGGAGGGTGAGTGATTAATGAGGAAGATTAAGAGATTAAACCTCTTTCTGGGTTGGGGAGGAGACACTCAGCTGTCTCATAGGCTACCCCCCACACCAGCTTGGAAGCCCAAGCAGGGAAGCTCCCGGGTGCTTGCTTCTTCCCACGCACTGGTGGAACCCTCTCTGTTCAAGATCCTTCCCAAGTGATGCGTGGAGGCCTTTACCACTGCCCACGACAGGCCGATGGGTTTTCCTTTCCTGTCATTCTCAGGCAATCTCTTATTTTTCCCACCTTCTCAGATTCCTTTTATGGTCCCACACAATTCGGGAGTCCTGCACTCCCTCCCCTTGTAAAGATTCCCACATTCCAAATTCGCTGTCTTTGGAAGGCACCCCATTCTCGCTTAAGAAGGCTTCCTCACACTTCCCCTTCAGATTTCCCATTCTCACCCCCCAGCCCTACCCCCACCTTACTTGCACCCACCACACCCCATCGGCGGGTTCCTCCAGGCCAGGCCGCCCCCGCTCGACCCCAGTTCCCCACTAGTGGCAAGGAGGCCAGCTCAATAAACGACCTTTAGTCTCGGATTGCCCGCCCCGGACATTCCACTGAATTCTGTGAATGTGTAGGATGGTTGGAGGACCCTCAGAATAACCCCCTTCGGGCGGTGGACGAGGACGATTTCAGCGAAGAGTCGTCCCCCCTCCTCCCTACCCTCAGGAGAGGTCCGCGAACCAGGGTGAGAGGGAAGTGGGAGTTCAGGGAGGAAAGTCCAGGCGGAGGGGCGTGAGGCGGGGCGTCCGTCCGTCTGGCACACTTCTGGGATTGTTTTCTTTTTCAGAAAGTGCTATTGCGGAGCGAACCGATCCAGATACTTATACTTTAGCTTCGTGACTGGGGGCGGCAGGTCTGTGAGTTGTTTTCGGCCCTGGACGCTGTTTTGTGAAGAACCCTGCGCGCCCAACGCCACCCACCCCGGGGCGCGCGGGCGGGGAAGCAGCCAACGGTGGGAAACTCCTACGCTTTCCCCCACTCTTCTCCTCCTGCTCCCCAAGACTCACTTCTAGGGAAGTCCTTTTCCCCATCAAGTCCCGGGAAAGATGGGCCGGGCTGAAAGAGGGACCCGTCCTCCTCTGTGCCAAAGGCAGGAGAAAATCCTGGTGCCGTCCCCTTTGGGTGTGAGTCCCGGAAATGGCGGGGGTGAGGAAGGTGGGCAGGGGCAAGGTTTGGTCCCCAGGGGAGAACGGACGCCTCCTCCCGGCAGCGCAGCACAGCCGAGCGTGCCCGAGAGGGCAGACGGCACCCTGGGGTGTCCCTGCCGCCGCCTCTCCCAGGACTCCGGAGCGCCGCGCCGCGTCCGGGCGCATTCTCAGTCGCGCGAAGCCAGAGAGAACCCTGGCACAGATGGAGACCCGAGTGACCCCAGCGTCCGGGTGGGCGTGGGGAATGGACCCACAGGCCCGGGACTCGCAGCGCGGAGCCCGCAGCTGGCCAGCTTCAGCCACCTCGGGAGACGCAGCGCAGCTGCGGCAGCTGACAGACAACACCAAGACTCGGCTGGGCCCCACCCCAGATCCCGCCTGAGCGCCTTCGGCGCTGCTCGGCCTCAAGGCGTGTATCACCAAGGGCCTCGTCCCTTGACTTGGTCCTCACGGTCTCCGGCCTCGGGCCCACTATTCTTCAGACCCCGCCTTTTCGACGCCGAGCTGCCGCCCAGCCCCAGCGGCAGCGCCTTCCGAGTAGATCTAGGCCGACTGTCCAACTCCCGCAGCTGCTCAGACCCCAGCAAAGCCCCCGTGAGCGTTTCTACTTTTCCCCCGAGCCCAAGCCACTCTCCTGTCACTCCTAGGAAACTCCTTTTTGCCCAAAACTCCTGGAGAAAAGCCCCGGGCGCCACGTACTCGCCCGGACCGCGAAGCCCAGAAAGCTTCAATTCGGAAGAAAGGGAGTGGGGAACACTAGGCTAGGGTGTTCCTGGAGGAGATCGGGGAGGGGGTTAGTGGCGGAGACGCATTCCGGGCTGGAGGCTTGGAAACGTTTGGAAGCTTTGCTCATCTTGGAGACCATGTGAGGAAAGAATCGTACCCAGGCCGTCCGCGGTGTCCCTACCCGGGTCCCCATCAGTGCCCCACGCACTCTAGCTCTTCCTCAGCGTCTGTAGCCTCTTCATCCGCCTGGAGAGGAGGTCTCCGGAAACCGAGTCTGACTATGGCACCCCAGAGCGTCCAATGCGAGCTCAGGTCCTTCCCCCGAGTCTGGAGTCTTCTTACCCAGCTGAGGCCGCCTTCGCTGTACCCACTCCCTGGCTGCCGCCCCGTCCTCTGCCACCCGGTGATTAGCGCCTTCAACCCTCACCAGCTTTGCATAACCAACCCCTAGAGGCCGTGGAGTCAGACAGGGCAGGGTGGGACATAGGTTTTTAACTCGGATTCTGTCTACACACATGCTATGCCTCCATACGGTTTGTCCCAGAGTTGGCAGATGGCCGGCTACCTTCAGGAACTCTTTGCTTTGGTCTCTTGTCTGTTCCTGTTCTAGTTGGGCAAGTTTCTAGCTAACCCAACGACAAAACCGTAGAACAAGGACGTTGGCACGGCATACAGACAAGGAATGTTAGCTGATTAATCAATGGAGTTGGTGCTTTGCAGCTTCCCTTTTATTCCTTGAAGTTGCCCTTGCTCTCCTCCTCAACTACCCATTCCCCACCCTGGCTTCTAGTCCCAGTCACCAAGTACTTGCTGAATCCTGTAGGGACAGCCAGGCCTCCATTTCTGACAATCTCTGTGGCTCCACCCCACTTGTGTTTTTGACTTCTCCCTCTTTTTTGTCTCTATCCCCCCATCAAGTTATAACACTATAGTGCAATTCTTTGGATTTTTCTCTAAAATATTGCACTTCAATCCTACAGCAGCCACTGTCCAACTCTAGCCTTCTCACAACTGTTGAATTAGGACACCTCTTCACAGGCCCACACGGTATGCTGCAGC